CTCCAAAGGATACTATAAACTACTATTCGAGAGATCCTACAGTTTCAACTTCAAAATCAAGTATTATTTGACATTGGATCCTCCCTGAAATGAATATAGTCTTCAACCAATACACTAACATTGGAATAGAAATGGATTCTAGGTCAATTTCCCTTGAGTTAAATGTTCTATACAACTGTGCGTTGAATGGTTGACAAAGGATATTGAGGTACAATTTGGGTCAATGATGTGTTACCATGATGTCCCTATTGCTTGAACATCCAAATAGTGGTCACATCATGTATCCCGTTAATGTTTACAGTATGTTCATCATCAAACTTGTGCTTAAAAGATTCTTAAGAAGCAAGACAGTCCGGTGAGCAGGTTAGTGAAGGCCTTGATAAACATTGTCGTGACTTCAATGTCAAATCATATGATTCAATGTGGTTTACGTTCAGAGTAGCAGATCGTTTGAGTATTTTCCCACGTATGATTTTTAACTACAAAATAGAATACTTCTGATTGTGTACACAAAATTATTTCTGATTTATATAATGACAAATTTACGTATTCCTAATTGTCAAATCGATTTCTAGTAACTCTGGATTTCATAGTTAAGCAGGTGAATTATACCTAGTGTCCTACACTAGACCAGATCCATGTCTTAGTACGGGGAAATTGCATGACACTGACGATCTAGAAAGATTTTAGATGAGAATTCTGAATCGAATAATCAGGTAATTCAGACCAAATTCAGATATTGTAAATAAATAATACATCGGGCCATTTACCAAGTGCAATGTCAGTGATCCTTTAAGTAATAATAAAGCAAAATAGTCAGAAAGCGAAACTAATAATTATACATTTCAGTAATTAATCACATTAGCCTAGTGAAGACAAACCAATGACAAACTCGATCTATGAAGGCGTAACAGTTTGTTCATCATGGTACTTAAATCAACATATGTATTCTCATGTATTTCATTCAATCGCAAAACTGATGCATTTATGTATTCAATATTATAAAATTTGTCCTCTATTTCCCTATTGATTGTGTTGAGTAAGAAAATGAATTGTGTCACTCACAAATTATAATTAATTCAAACCCCTTTATCATTACCGAAATACCCGTAACGTTTGTGAAAATGGCAAGAAGCGACCACATAGTAATCAATAGCTCTATACGAAGATATTGAAGATTGAATATAAAACCCATTTTTGAATAAACAGAGAAAAACCATTATTTAGAATAACAGTTATGTGGTAGATGATAAGATGTCAACTAGCAAGTAAATATAACTCATTAGCCCAAACCGAATAAGAAACTAATCATTCAAACTAAATTTGAGAAGATTGAGGTTGTTATCGGGAATAGCTTTGTCGTATTCCAATCTACGTGAGTCAGGTATCTTAGCCATTGTTAATAAATAGAAAGCCTAATTGAAATTTTCTATTATGAATTCTAACGCAACAAAACTTACCGTTGGACAAAACAACCGTAGATTTTAAAAATCTATTATTATTTTTAGGTGGAAATGGATAGTGATTGGTAGTTGAATCCAGGACGTTTGTTTCGTTCTATTCAGGACCATTCAATTAGATAAACTGCTAGCAACTGTCTGTCTACGGTTAAAAATATTTGTGACTTAGTGGCACTATTCAAGCGATCCGTAAAACATCCACATATTCCAAAACAGACCGATTAGTTGTTGGTTTCAACGTCAATAGGAAGATTCAAATAATCATCATATATAGATGTTGTTATTGTAATTTACTGAACGGGTATGAAAGTGAAGTTATAACGTCGACATAAATGACTATACCATAGTTGAGCGTCACTCAGAGTGCTTTGTGAAAGAGATCATTTAAATAGAATAATCTGTTATATTTCGCAGTTATGAACTTATTATTATTCATTGTCACGTTCAGTGATGATTTAAATATACAACATGCTGTACTGTCACGATTTCTCTTTTGGCACTTTTTCTAACTTCTAGCTGCATGACCAGAAATGATCTTCTTAATTTTATCTCGTCAAAAGTGCAAAACACTTTTATGGTGTTTTCATAGTCCAGAAAATGAATGTCATCTTCAAAACATTAAGAAACTCAACAGGAAAACGAAATCATATTGATACTAACACTGTTGTAGAATTTATTCAGTACGGCATAGACACTGTAATTTCATCATTTAGTTTACCGAGGTCTTATTTTCATTTCACAGAGTTTACAGTTTGACCGACGAATAGATGGGTATTCCTCTGACTGTTGGTTAATGTTTGAAAGATTGTTTGTTATTGTAACTGTAATTACTGAAAGTAAACACCTTTAGCCACTATTGTAAACAAGATCAACTGGTTTCGAAAAATAATTACTAGAATTTTCCACTTACCTCGAAAACCTCAGTTTTCCATGCAGATTATGTAATACATCTTCTGAAATGTTTTACGATAACTATACGTTGCATAATTACAGTGTCACTGTTGAATATCTTTATACGAATGAAAGGAAAATGTTCCTCAATAAACCAATATCAGTATCTGAGGTATCTCTGAGTAAACACTTGCATAAAATTTGAACTGTATTTAAAAACGGTGATGGTGTTTTGGACTACCCACAAACGTTTTTTAACACATCGTTATATCTATTAGTCTCATAACATATTCAGGTGTGTTTGTGAAAAGTGTACGACATTTCGCTGTACAAATTACAAATGATCCCAACTAGGGACATCGTGATTGCTGGCAATATGGAACGAAAAGAATATACATTAAACTAATCTCGATGCCTGAACTGATAACATCTAACTGGTGACTACTCAATGTGTTATCGTAAGGACTGATCAAGAAATAAGAAAAGGAAATTCGTTGAAATACTTTGTGCTGAGAAATCTATATTGTATCAAAAATATAATATTTAATTAAGCTGAAACGATAGAATTAAAATTAGTCATGGACTGAAGAAGGTTAGTTTTTAAAGCTGGTCATCTCCAAGTAGAACACGCTCCGAACATCCACTACGTCAGCGTTTCGAAGATTTGCGTAACTCTGTACTATTCTTCTCCTACTAATGTCTGTATAATTTTGAATTGGAATGATTAGTCATATACTTGTTTATCACTGTTGCTTAATGGAAGTATTTAGAAAACGAGGACAGTGTGTAAGTTTATTTTCTTATTTGCTAAACAATTTCATAGATAACTATTTATAACTAAGTACTGATTACAATTACAGATCAAGAACCGTTCAAGTATTTAACATTATCACTATCATGAACAAAAGTCCCAAACATCTTCTCCAGCTCATATAGTGCGTCAATAGATGACTTATGATAATCCATAGAGATGACAATATAAACATTTACCATAATATAGACATCTATATTTATTCAATGATTTCAAGATCAACTTGATGACGCTTTAGATTATCAAGTGTACATCTTGTTTCGAATAGTTTCACACAAGCAAACATTTGGCATAAAACGATGTACAATGCCAAAACAACTTGAGTCTAGTTATATGGTGTTTTTCATACTATTAACCTCATTTTTATTACAACTGATAGTAAAGAATTCATCAATAGGCAAAGTTTTTAATTCAAAGTTATTCGTTAAGCATTATGAATAAACCAAATTGTAAAATATTCATTATGTGCAGATTATCTGTTTCCTCTTTTTTCAACGAGAGCATGGTGTGTACTACTGATTTCAATAGATATAGGTAGCATGTATCATCAATCGAAAGTAAAATGCGTGGTAGCAGAAGGTGAAGAAGATCGAAGAAAAGAGAACGAGAACAGAGAATGATTGATGTGGAAACGAAGGGAGAATGAAGTTTGAGACAGTCTATTGAAAGTTTACAAATGAAATATTTGCTGTATGGTTCGCAGATTTTACTAAGATGTTCTGTAAATTTGTATTCAAATACGTTCGATTGTCCTCACTTGTGTTCTCGATCACTACAAAAGTAATTGGTATACCAGCATGTATGAAAACGATTAGAAGTGCCAAATAATTGGAAACTCTAAAATCACTAATATAAAATGTCTACTTATTTTGCTAATTATCAGCTTTACGTCAATCGTTAGATTGAACCGCCCTTGTCCTTTTTTCTTGAATCATGTCATTACGCATGTTTTGTTATCAGAAGGGGTTTTTGTAGATTTCATGGTCATTTAATGGTTGGGTTCATAAATCAATTAAAGCTAAACCACCATAGAAAACCTTGAAACCATTCACTAGTGGGTACAAGAGGTATTTCTTGGAGTTCTGATGAGAATCACTGACCATTGGAGTTCAATCAGGTCTGTTGTTATATAGTAACTCACTGAAGACATTGATGGACGATGGCTCAATTTCATAGATTGGTCGATGTTAGATACTAACACCGTTGAATGCCGGTTGACAGAGTGGTCTAGAGGTTAAGCCTTCGCACGCAAGATCGATAGTTCATGCGCTCGAATCCCTTTGGTTTGAGACCGTGGATGCACACTACTGTGGAGTCTCACACTAGGTTTTACAAGGTGGACTAGTTTCAAATGACTCATAAACTCAACAAATTCTTTTATGTGACATTAAATTAAAAAATGTAGTTTGTTATTTATTCTCAAACTACATAAGGTTGTTGTGAATTTTTAAAATGACGAACCATAAAACTGTTACACAAACTATATAAATTTCAGAAACGTTTCTCTGCTAAATTGACATTTTCCAAAAATAACTAATCATACGTATTTGTGATGGTTACTTTTCTCAAAATGTCTTCTTCGTAATATAATGTCAACTTTTGAGTCTTTCTTAAGTTGATCACTAAAATCATTCATGTTAATCTGAGTAATCTAATTCATAATGAAGTTGTATCCGCTAATAAAACATGATAAATATGAGTAGGTCAAAATTGAATGGAACATGTGATCTTGACTTAATGTATATCATGTGGTCTTATTACTGAGAAGATTATAAATACAAATGAATCTTTCAACAGAATATCCGGAGTTCACCTAACTACACATAGATTCATTACAAATGATCTTCGTTACATTGATTCTCATCATATCTGTTCAATCATTTGGTAAATCAATCCGGGAGTTTATTTTTGCTTTTGTCTTTTTAAAAAAAACTACGATAATTTACATTCAATGACGTTTACTGATGTTGATGATTATGTTATCTATCAAAGTTTCTAGTGAATTAGGCATGTTACACATAGACAGTTAGTCCCTTCCTAAAGTTTAAACTACATCAGTTAATAAATTACATTAATGTGTGCGGTAAAACTAAAATTTATGGATGACATTTGAGCGAAGCTAGACTATTCTTGAAAAATTTCACCTAGTAACTACGATCATATGAGGATTATAAACCAGTGTGAGGAATTCAAATTATGATTTACAGTTCATGGTTAAGGTTATGAATTATATTCAGGGTTTTCATCACGAACTGACATCAGTTATAACGTCAAAACTTTATTTAGCCCACTGTATACATGAATTTCGCGCCAAAATCAGAGACCTCTTATCTTATACCTTGGTTGGTTCGTCCATAAATTATAGTCTCGCCATGTGTGTAAAATTTTATTCACTGACATTTTGACTAATTGTCTGTTCTTTTGTATCATATTAATAGTTAATCTGATGTTGGTAATTGAACTGTTTTTTAGACTGTACATTGGCATCACGTAAGTTATTCAATTTTAGATTAGTTGTTTTACTTTATTTATGTAAATAAGGACAGTTAAATACGAAGAATCAAAATGAGAATATGTATGGGTAATCATAACGACTGGATATTTTAGGGATATTATCCTGGTAATTAACAAGTGTATATACTTTCCATTTATACACTGTGTACTTATGAATAGTAATAATATAATTTTGAATGAAACAGTCGTAATTCACCGCAAACAATACTTTTTAAAGCAAAAATGGATAGTGGCTAGCAGTGGAATCCAGGACACGCGTTTCGTCCTACTTCGGACTCGTCACGTGGACGTACCTATATCTCAGATTTGATGTTCATTCAGAGACTGGAACTCAGTACCGTTGGTTTCAAACGTCATCGAGTTATCCATTTAGCTACTGACTTCTGGCAGCCACTTACTTGTGCAGTGGGGTGGAGTTTAAATTCACTTGGTATTATTTACTTGAATCTTCCTATTGATGTTTAGAACTGTATTTGATCAGTCTCTTATTGGTATATGTGCATACTAAGCGTATTGCCTCGATATTGCCTTAATTCATGAGCATTCTAAGCAAAGATTGATAGTGGCCAGCAATAGAATCCAGAATTTAGTGATCATCACATAGTTACACCAATAAAGTTGAATTGAAATTTTACACTGATTTTACACCTCAATAAACAGTTTCCCATTATTTCACTATTATGCCTACAGTTCTCATCAACATTTCAAGACTTCTATACACTTCGCTTACCAATTTTCTGATCAATGTTAACGTAACAAGGAAAATAATCTGTCATCGAAATAAAATTGGTGATAAGGATTATCTCGTTAGTAACAAATAACTACTACAAAGCAACTTATTAAGCGCGTAAAATATAGTTATATTCACCTAAAAATTGGTTTGTGATATTGTTCTTTTGGGAAGCTACTTAGGGAATACTGATTCATTCATTCATTTATTCTATGAAATCGTTTTATCCGTGAGAAAAGTTTCTGCAATGGGTTGGTTTCTTTCTCAGAATGGTTTATTATTGAGTGACAGTTGTCATAATGAAATCACGATATTATCATGAAACGCTATAAGTGCGATTCATTTTCATTGTGAATGATACATTCATGATACATTTGATTAGCTGTTACAGTATGTTTTGACAATAGTAATCGTTATCCCTCATGCTACCAAGTCATTATAATTGAGTATGGTAAATACTACTCTTTCATAAAAGTATATATTCAATAACATGTCTCACTGTACTATAACGCTGTAACTTGTTTCGATTACATATATAGCTACTGACAAATAACAAGTGATAGGTTAACATAGTATAAAGATGTCAACATTTAAGCGAAACTGAAAGACACAATGGCTAGTCGCACTTCATACTAGTTTGGGCAAGTGACAGTTTTCCTGTTTAATCTATTCTTTATAACAATGTTGTAGAAATTCAAATGCTTGCAAGGATACATTACAGAAGAGATGAAGAATATTCATTTCGAATAATGGAATTAGAGATCCAATATCCCACCGAAATGTGAAAATCTATGGACTCTGAGTTGAAATATTATTAGTTTTTCAAGTCATCAGCTTAACTTATGAATATAATCCTTAACTAATGATTGATACGTTTTACTGCTAAAATACCACTCATGTTTTTTGGATTTAGGTAATATTGGTAAGTTACTAAAACTTTTCGTCTTACGATTTCTATCTGTCAAATTGAACTAAAACTATAAACCGTAAAATCACATTACTTACTTGGAATGATTTAAGATCTGTGGACAGTAATTTCCACTCATACTGGTTAACAATAATGATTTATTGAATGTATCATCGAACATTTTATAAATTTACATAATCGAAGGGTGTTTAACTACGAAAATAAAAAACTAAAATGTGCACAGCAACTACAGAATATGTTTCAATCTTATTGTTGTATACACATATCTTCAAGTAAATTAATACTAACAATCTAAGTAAACGTTCCTTGTGTATTCTGTCGAACTAATCGATCACATGTGAATACAATCAACTTTCTTGCATTGAATTGTGGTTTCACTTTTTGTTGTTTAATCGGATGACATTAAGAAAATATTTTGGTGCAAACGTTCATTAACTGATGTGGTGAGACTATGATTTACGGACGACCTTGGGGCGAAGCTAGGCTAACCTTGACAGGTTCACCTAGTAACTAGGACCAAATGAGGATTATAAACCAGTGTGAGGAATTCAAATTATGATCTACAGTTCATGGTTAAGGTTATGAATTATATTCAGGGTTTTCATCACGAACTGACATCAGTTATAACGTCAAAACTTTATTTAATCAAATGAATGAGTGAATTTCGTGCCAAAATCCGAGACCTGTTATCTTATACCTTGGTTGGTTCGTCCATAAATTATAGTTTGTAAAGATGACATTACAGTTTATTTTCTTCGACATTCCTATTGATGCATGCATGATCTGATAAGAAATGTTCAGCAACATCACGAAACACATCAGATTATGTGATTTCTAGATTATTGATTTGTATAAATCTTTGATTGATGTAATCATTTGGTATCTCAGTTGAATAGTGTTAGATGCAGTAAAGATAACAACATCTACAAATTACACTAAATTACCACAGTAAATCAGTATAGAAATTGAAGTGGTAGTTCAATAATGAACGAAACAATGATTTAAATGTGAGTGATAATTTAAACAATGGACAGATTGTAAAGTATTCAAAACTGAATGGACTTTAAATGAAATACTATTCTCTTAACTTCCTAATAATAGCTCTAGAATGTAAGTGCCTTTTTAATAAATCGGTTTTGCTATTTCAACTATAGACTGTTACAGGTCAAGTAACTTTTGATGGGATCATTTTTTAAACCGATTTTCAAATTTAGGTGAAAAACATTGTAAGGGAAACAGTAAGTAAAACAGATCATTATTCTTTATGTTGTAAGTTACATTGATCTTGTTATGCTCCACTTGACTTCCAATTTCACTGTACATCAGCGTTGATAGTAGCGTTATTTATTATTATTACTATTATTATTATTATTTAATTAAGTAATGTTTGACAAATTGGATGAATTGAAAATAGCTCTATGTTTTCGGTTGTGCGTTCTAGCGCGTAGGATCGTGGATTTACACCGTTGAGAAGTCTCATCTAAAAACGAAACGGCTTTCTAGTGCATCCAGATTTTCACTAGTAGTATGAATTAGAACAGTTCATCATTTCAAATGAAATAATAAAGTTATTCGCAAACCAGCATGCGAGAATAGACTGAAAATTTGAACACCTGAAATGTCCATAACTTTTCTGAAATCGAATGTTATGATTTTCATCAGTTTCTAAGTTTAGCATCATGACGTTATCGAAGCAATCTATTTGACGAGGAGACCTGTATAATAATGTTTGCTTGATGTTACTGAACATTCGAATCAATTGACGAATATCAGTAGAACTATGCAGCAATTTAATGGTCAATGAATACCTCCAAGTAATTTAAATTATGCAATAGGTTTCATTTCTACAGTTTTGCTATTGCTTATTCAAGTACATTGTCTTCATTATACATCACATCTTAAAAGGATAGCTTATAGTCTCCAGAAGCTATCTCAACAACCTATGTTCGTGGTTTTACGGAGAATGCACATCAGTGATGCTTAAATAACTATGATTACTAATAAAGCTGCCTATGGATTCTTGCTATTACAGATGAATATGTGAGTCGATACTGTAAGTATATTTGAAGATTTGATAAAAAATTTTGAATAAGACTTCTATTTTGTGTGATATGCTCATCACTGAACACCTTATTTTGACTATGAAGTGTGAAACAGTTATGAAATATCCGAACGAGAGTAGTAGTAGGGTAATCTCAATGATTTAATTTGACTTATGAAAATTTATTGCAAACCGACCTTAGTTTGTAGATAGCTAAGGTGTTTTGATCAACTGTGAATGAATCAAATCATTGAACAGTACACATACGTTAAGACGATATAATCCAAATTAATAACAATGGGTTCATAACCCATAAGCAAACACTTGAGTCACCCAAACAAGTCATGTTTTTCTTTGTCAGTGAATAATTTCATTCATAAATTTGAAGCCTTCATATTAGGTTGTTCAAATGGTTTCACTTATGATATGCTGTTTTACAAATAGGGGAAAAACAAATACCTGTAATCAGTATTTAATTACACATCCTCATTGATTGAAAAATCACTTTTGATGTATAAACTTATCGTTAAGGTGGTGGTCTGTGTTCTGGCAGTAAGTTATTGTTATTCAACCGTTTTACTTTGTACTAAACGTTATCATAAAATCATTGTCACTGGTTATGATAATAACATTTTTCTTCGATAGCCTTCTGTAAACTGGCTCACCTTCAACAATTTATTGACTAACAATCATCATTTACACGACATGGATAATGCGATGACTTTTTCAACTGACAAACCAAACATTCTATATTTGAATAAAATAACTCTGGATTATTTTCGTACTGATCCTGATTGCACAATGGAACACCTATAGAATGTGGTTTTATGATACACACTTACACACTGGTGCTCAATAATACCCAAAATCTTTCAAATTATTCATTCACTACTGAAAAGTCACAACTTCAAAACGACCTGAGTAGTTTATGTGATTCACCACCAACATCATAAGTGTAATTGTACAGTCTTTTATCAAGTTTGATTGTACAATATAAGTCTTTGTCTTCTGATATGGTGCTATGATAAGGCAATCGACTGGTTTTATCGAATCACAATACAGATGAATTCTCTTCTTCTTTTCAAATTGGATCCCTTCTGTCTGTTCAAGCTATCCTCACTGTAAATTTAGAATAATAAAATATGAAAATCTGATTGTTATCTTTGTAATATGGCAGGTATAGACGACTTTAGTTAAACACTAATCGCGTTTGTGTGTAAAACTGATCACTCTACGAATCACGTTCGTATCATCTATACATTCTTCTTGGCCAAGACGAGTTTATTAAATCAACATGCATTTGAAATATTCATTGTGAAACGACTGTTCCAAAGGGATCTTTTAGCTTTGAGAATGTATAAAATGATTTGATGCACATAATAAAATAAGTGACTATCAATTTACTTTAATGTCTAGCCACAGGAGCTCAAACATTCTACTGTAAGTATGATATATCTTTTCGTTGTTAAATATGTTTCAAATAAGAGCTTCAAGAGATCACTAGGTATTTGACTGATATTCACAAATGGGTGAATGTACTTAGAAATCGTGGTGTTTCATCTACTAAAATGTTTTTTTATTGAGATCATGAACCAATTGATGTTAGACCATCACAATTGAAAACCTGGAAGCACTGGACGGCCGTTTCGTCCTATTGTAGGACTCCTCAGCAGTGCGCAACCACGATCCCGCGAGCGGAATTCGAACCCAGAGCCTTCGGTCTCGCGCGCGAACGCTTAACCAACTGGACCACTGAGTCGGCATACAATGGTGATAGTTTCTAACATCAACCATTCCACGAAATTGCGCGACCAACTTCCATTGTACTGAGGTAGATACCTGTCTCTACCCGACAAGGATTAGCTCCACTGGTCACGGCTTTTTTTATTGTCATCTACTTAAAATGAAAATAAAAATATAGTGGAATTTTGGTGAAACGTCAATCATGAGCAACCTTTTAATCAGTCACGAAAGAACGGTCAGTTATTTTGTAAAAACAAATAAGTATACAGTGGATATAGGTTTTGAAAATGATCGACGAACATTTCAAAACTGGAGATGAGTTTCATTCATGAAGTAAATTAATCAGATAGCTACTACCAAAATCTTTGACTTAAATTCAAAATACCCATTTCATTACTGGAAATACATACTCTATGAAGAATGTATAGTCCGATTTGGGAAAAGAAGGAAATCGACAATTCAAAAGCTTAGTATAACCATCTAAACATTTATTTATTGGATAGTAATAATTATTATAATGATCAGTTCTATTGTTAAATAATTCATATTTTGTAAACGTATTTCAAGTGTGTTTTTCATCAATATAACCCATCCAAGGGAAATTTCAATTGACATTGACACTTTATTCTGAACTATTCAAATAATCAACCAATCAAATTACAAGAAGTTGTATGATCACTAAACTGATTTATTTGCGTTAGTCTGTGTTTACGGTAAACCAAATAGTACTGTTACTAAAACGGATCAGATATCAAGATGTATTCTTGTAATTGTGTAATTCTGAGACAAGATTTGTGTAGTTTATATTATTTATATTCAAAACACTGATGTTTGGAACATTATTTTTGTAGGTTATCTCGCATGCAGTCATAATGGTATGTCTTCTTACTATATAATCATTAAATTTGTTAGACTTATGAATGAATATACAGTGAATCTATCATGTTACAATTAACTGGTCATATATTTAGAATAAATGCGTTATGGCTGATTATGAAGTCAAGGTACGAGTATAATCATTTTTTGGACTGGTTAAGTAGACGATCCTGCATCTCAGTTTTGATATTTACATAAGAATTATTGTCTAGTGTTTTCAGATCCATACATTGAAAGTGATTTCTATCTAGTGACTTTATGGATAAATTGAGTATATGAAGCACATATTTCAACGATGACTAACTGGAACACATTCTACCATATTAACAACTTAACAATTCAACCCCTTACCATTTGTCACATATAATCAATGATGTTAAATGACTGATTCATTTGCACAAAAAATTTAGTTCTACATATAACCACAGTACACTTTTCAACCATGGAATTGGAGTCTGTTTTTTACCTTTAATAATGAATGGTTCCAATCTAACAAACTGTACGCAACATATCTTAGTATTTAATAGATTTAAATAGTTTGATATTTCATAGCTCGTAGGCTTGCTAAATTAAACTGACCATCACAGAATGATCATATAGCGATAATCCCTGGTTTCGGAAAAGGAATAGAATACTGAATAAATCTTCAATATATTCTGCGACTAACCTCAAAATAGGCAATCTTTTTTTTGCCTGAAATAAAACGTTGGTGATAGATATTCGCCGTAACACTTTTGATGGAGCAAAGGACCTATAATTTGAATAAATAGTTGTGAAACATACATATTCGTTTACACAAAGTATTTCATTACGTCATTTTTTAAAGATTTGTTTCATTTCAAAATTCCTTCAAAAAAAGAATAATGAAAGCCAAATATCAATCGGAATATCGAGGGAATTGAATAACAATTTCGTTTCTCTTTAAAATTTCGGTGAGACTATAAGTTATGGACAACGTTTGAGCAACGTTAAACTGACCTTCAGAGTGTCCACCTGATAACTAGGACCAAATGAGTGTTATAAACCAGTGTGAGGAATTATAATTATAATTTACAGTTGATAGTTAAGGTTAAGAGTTAAATTCAGGGTCTTCATCACGAACTGACATCATTTATAATGTCAAAACTCTATTTGGTCGAATGGATGAGTGAATTTCGCGCCAAAATCAGAGACCTGTTATCTTATACCTTAATTGGTTCGTCCATAAATTATAGTCTCGCCGAAATTCCTTAGCACGCAGAGTGAGTACAACATTCCTTAGAATGTAGGACATATTTTGGTGTTTGAATGAACTAATGATACTTTTGTACTTGTTGATTACACGATTTCGAATTCCGAATACAGTACATTTGTTTGTGCTTGTGTCTTCTTAATTCAATTGCGTTATTTCTTAGACTCTTAGTTCGTGCTATAATTCAAATAATTCGTAACATTATACATATATATTCTGACAAAACATGTTAGCATCTGATTATCTGATCAGAATCCTATCGATAACGTTTACTGACATGGAGTTATTTTCATCCAGACGTTATCATCATCGCACCATGTTGGTTCATGAAACTAAAGATAGAAAATTGAATATAAAGAGCTATTCAATATCTCATGGTTTCAGTCGGTTTTCCCAATTTATATTTATTGACTTTTACTGGTAATAAATACTACAAGAAAACAAAAGCACATGAATTGTGCTCATTTTTGGAAGTTCTCGAATAAATCTGAGATATATTTATTTGTACACTTAAGCTACGTTCGAATTCAATGAGATTGCTTATTTAGTTTTTCAAACTACATTCATCAGTTCCAGATGATATTACTTGTTGAAATGATAAATACTAAGATAACTTCAATGTAGTATTTAAAAGTAGATCGGTTGTTTTACTATTTCAGCCACTACACAAGGAGATTTCGACAAATGTAAGTTCCGAAACTGATATACGCAGCTTCTGAAGTTATTTCTCATTGTGGTTGATGAACAAATTTAAAGCTTTTATCTGCATTCACATTTCGATTACATAAGAATGTTGCTTCGTCTTAACATGATTATTTTCTAGCAAACTTTGATTGATATGAATGTTAACTAATTCTATCTTCTAAAGTCATAACTTAAATCTTTCACAATACCGTTCTGCCTGGTCAAAGGTGAATAACGACTGATGTATTTATTTAGATGACAATAGAAATGAGAGAAGTAATGAAATATTTGTGTAAGATATCAAACCCATCATTTCAATATCTATTAGCTGGTTAGATAGAAATTTAAGATATTTGTTGTTGTCAGTTCTCAAGACTGTACTAGAATGCTCATTGTATGAATCAACAATCGAATCTCTAGTTCATTTTTTCTAAGATTAAATCATACACACTGAATTCAATCACTCGGATCTGATGTAAATTATGATTCATTTAGTGGGTTATTTGAATAGTCATTGGATAACTGAAATTACAGCTAAACTATCTATTATTATTTTACAGGTATAAAAAAGTGTAACGGTAAGTGTGAATAAATCAATAATGTCAGTTCCATGAAATTTCAGTTCACAAATTCCATATTGTTTTATTTTGTTATAAATACAAAATTTACTTTGATTGTAGATGGTAGTGGTCTTGGTGAGGAATCGTGTAAGTACATAAATTGTTTATTTTGCTATACATGAACAATAATCTGTAAAATTTGCCTTGAAAGTAAATCAGTCAATTGTGACTTAAACAGGTATACGATGTTCTCATCCAAACAACCTATAAATCATAATTGATCCAAATTTCTGATACGTTTCACGATATGAAAGACATCAGTCTGTATTAAAAGGAACAGTTTTTAGACTGATAATCGTCATACAGTCCCTACAAAGAAGTCATCTTGTATTCACATAATATTTGTTAGTTTGTTCCAGGAAACAATAATAAAGCATTTCATAAACGCAGGCATCGAAAGGATGTTTTACAAATGTAATGAAGAAACCTCAACAAAATATCTAATAGTTTAACAAATGAGTCGACAGCGAACATTCAAATTGTCGAGGCATCAATGTGATGCAAATGTTTCCAGGATTCGTGCATCTAAATATGAAAATTTTCAGTGTGGTATTCCATGTCGATAATCTAGAATCAACTAATTCTTACTAGTTTATTTGATATTGCTACTTATTTGGACTTTGTTTAACATGCCACTGGAACGAGCTTCTCAGTTTGCACATTCATCCAGAAATGTTTTCCTGGTCCAGAAAATGATAACTAAGAGGCAGTGATTAGTTAGCTAGATACTAGGTGCTCTCCTCACATTGACTTTTTCGATTATATCAGACCTTCCACAACAAAATGTTAATAAAACTGATGGCTGATGTAAATAAGATCATGTCTAAGTTATTCGAAACGACGCCCCAAAAAGGTATGTCCAATTACTGTTTCAGATTCCAAGTGATAGAAAAGACCAAACTTCGTTATGGCGGTGATCGAAATCGTGTGATAAGGAAATTCTTTCTTTTTATAGTATTGATATTTTCCGATTTTCATTCACTTCCGGTTCTACACGCGTGTCTTGGATAAGTAGATATGGTTACTTAATGCGACCTCATGTTTTTTATACTAACGATATTATTGAATGTATCTGTCACGATAGGACGAGTCAGTTTTGACAATTATTTGATTTTGACGTAACATTTTATCAACTAGATAGTAATATCATGGCAAATTCATATTATTGAATAAGCTATTATTCTAGTAGCACAGATAAGTGCAAATATACCGACCTACACCCAAATCTTACATAGTAACTAGTAAATAATTTGAAATTTATTGAGTGATAATCAGAGTTTTACATTTGTTTTTCTATCTGCCCTAACACTCTTTAAGGTATGAATAACTGTGGGACTGTCAGTAAGTTGCTTAATTTTGTACCGAATATCCTTATCCATGAATTAATACATAGTCCATTTTATACAGCATATTTGTGCTATTATTATTTTCAATCTTGATCATAAAAGAAGCGCTTACGCTGGTTAACAGAAACTCTTTCATATCCAACTGTTCAACGAATTAACCGACTTAGCATTATTTGTATTTTATGTATCACAATAGTTTTTAATGATGAGATGATCATATTTCATCTGTAAGATCTTTAATCCTAGGCTAACACTGTTGCAGGATTCAATGAAAAACAGGAAATATTTGTGAATCTATTTCATGTAATTAGGTCACCATCTGTACGAGAAAATGAATTAGATCAAACCAGATAATTTTACTTAAAATAACGAGCGTTGTCCACTGAATCTAAGGAATACGAAATTCAGTAGTACATGTGTCCAAATTCTCTTGCTAGTCACTAACGAAACCTCAGAGTCGTGTTATGTGTATATGTGCCCGGCATTAAAGTCAATGGCGTATAGCTAACACCAGTGGGAACAAGATTGAACAACCCTTAGTCTGTTCCCTATCCAATTGTTTTTCGAGTACGTTCAAATGCCGGAGAGGATATCACAGTGTGAGTCGATAAACCATGTCCCTGTTTATTGTGGTAATTTTTAAGACCTAACCCTTATTCATTTCTCCCATAATACAATCATGAGCGAAATGTTCTCGTTGTCAGTGTTCAATACGACAGACACTGCCATCTGTATGCTATGGTCAAACATATCAAGCTTGATTTTCATTAGCTGGTGATTTAATACATTGTCAGTATTACTGACCGACTTAATTGAATTTGTGTGATGACTTGGAGACAGTAGCCTAGTGTACGTGTTTAGAGCTCTGTATACGGTTGAACCTGGTCTGTTTATTACTGACTTCAGTGTGATTGCGTGATAGCTCGTTTTCGTCACATTTGTCGGTGACATGTTTGAACGGTACCGAGAAAGCAGTTTGTGATATTGTTGTACACAATCCTTCCAACCCATCCTGAAGTACGGACCGAGGTGTTTAGAATATGCATGTGTAAAGTAAGCAATGTTTTGGACTAAAACGCTTTATAATATTCTTACCATCCATCTCAATCCAAAAGATGAATAGAATTTTATCATTAGAATGATATTGTTCGTAAATGCAGCCTAATTTGACAATGTTGTGATGTGATCTCACGAAAGTTATGATAAACTATCCTGTAACGATTGCCCTACACAAGATAGAAGAAGGTTCAACAATAGTGTTTTATGTTTAAAGACATATAGACAAAAAAAATAATTCATTAATGTTATTTCATTTCCAGCCAACCACGAGGAAGTTTGTAAGTTACACGTCATTCTTAAACTGTTGAATGATGGATATAAAATTAATGTGAAATTTTCAGACAGAACATTAAATTTCTCGATAACGTGATCTAACACTGACTGATCGATAACGAACGAAGCTCATATACAGATTAGTGAAATTATATTATAAATGTTCAGGTCTATCGATAAAAGACATCAAGTTTACTAACCAAAAGAAAAATGAATGACTGTAACCAGCTTCAAAATAGTTTTAATTCATACATCATTTAAATTTACACAATGTATGAACACCCGAAGGTAGACACTTATAGATAACTACAAAAGTATCAGATAAATCGCATCGGTAAGTAACAATTGAATGTTTTCTTATGCATACAAAAGACAATGTCATCATGATTGGGTGTAGTGAACTATATTGTCAAAGGAAATGAATATCCTAGTAGATTTGATTTAATTTTTAATTGTGAAATTGATGGTTGTTTGTATTACTTCAAGGATCTCACCTTGGAAAGGTCATTTTCAATTCACTTTGAAGTTGTAAACTAGTACGAGATTAATAATTATGCTAATAATAATGCTTTCAAGTATAACTATTGTGTTATGCTAGTGGTCCTTATAGAATATGTTAATATGTAACAGTAATGATTAGGTTCACATCATGCACGTTTACATAATCATCGACTTTAAATAATGTAAACAATCATTTCAGGTGAAACCGTTTGCGGTGGAAGTAAGTTTACAAGTATTGAAACTATATATGAGTTAAAAGCTGTGAATATAAAATGTCGAATAGAAGATTTAAAGATGTTTCACGGGAGAAAAATTGTTGATGAACTTGAGAAGAGTGATGGATTTAAAAAATACCTTGAAGTATTCGAATTATAGTATGAACTAAGAATCCCAGAAATAACGTAATCGGATCAAGAACTGCTAGACCATCACGAACGAATATACTGTATTTAGAATTCGAAATCAAGCATACAACAAGTACAAAGGAATCATTAGTTCATTCAAACACCACCAATTTACATATGTGATAATGTTTTATACCCAATTCACTAATTTGTTCACATTACTGAATACATCTAACACAAAAGTGATGTTTTTGAGTGTGATTTAATATGCAACCTTGACAATGTGATTTGAATAGGGATATCAACAGTATCTTATAGTTAATTATATAGATGATACTAAATGCAAACGTATTATCTGAGCGATTAAATCAAAGTGACTGAAATGATGTTTCATTTATGTATTTGTTTTGTTTATTCATTGTTCTTGGAAAAATGATTTGAGAAGTTTCAAAAAACTGATTTTCGCATTCAGACATCAGGTGGTATTCATTATTGCTGTAGATAAGAATTAAACTTTTCAGATATCACTGTCGAATTTTTAAGGCCACACCACTGGATTCCGTTTTGTTCAATTTACAAACATATTCTTAAGGTGATTTTTATATTCAACTTTCAATATTTTACAGATAATGGAGGCCTATTTCCACTTTGTAAGTCATTTTTGGTGGTAATTTTGATGCAAAATAAGTGCGTGTAAAATGTCTTAGCTGTTCAGTTTTGTACCGTTGCAATATAATAGCTTGATATGAACAAAACATGAACGTTAATGGACTGAAAACTAAATGCCCCGCAGTCTCCAGAAGTATTCTGTAACAGTTGAACTATGAAACCAGATTTGTCAATGGTTAATCTTAAATTGATTAACTTGAGATGAATACTATGCAGTATAATATAGTTCAAATTTATATTCAGTAATAACTAAAATTTTGATTGATCAATAAAAAGGTGCATTTGAGCAGTACACTTAGAAAAATTGTCTCTGTAAACTTGGAGTGGGAATGAACTATCTAATAACCAAACCTAACTACTCCTTCCTCACAGTTTCAAATAACATTCCAAAGGCTATACTTAACATTAGTGCTTTGTCTCATTTCGATTGTAGCTTGTTATTGACTCACGTGGTTTTCTTCTTCCTATGTTTATCGAATCACTTAAAACCAGTTAATTTTGATACCAATTGATCGCTTTTTGATCACTTATCTGAATGTATGTATGTCTTAACCTCGTGAAATGGTTTGTACAGTGGACCTCGACATAATCCTTCACAGTGTCCATATATCTTTATGTAAACATGGGCTAATTGTATTAAGTAATAATCAATTGGGAAGCGTATAATATTAAAACAGAGACAAAGCACATATACTGATTATTAAAATTTGCTTGACAATATTTCTTCATTAATCACTGTGAAACCACTGGAGCGATAAAACTCCATTTTAAATAGGTTTCTTTCAGAGTTCAGTAGTGATAAATAACCAGACAGTTTGCATAATAATGAGTGAGACTATGATTTATGGATGATTTTTGAGCAACGCTAAATTGACCTTTAGAGTGTCCACCTGATAACTAGGACCAAATGAGTGTTATAAACCAGTGTGAGGAATTCAAATTATGATTTACAGTTGATGGTTAAGGTTAGGAGTTATATTCCGGGTCTTCATCACAAACTGACATCATTTATAATGTCAAAACTCTATTTAGTCGAATGGATGAGTGGATTTCGCGCCAAAATCAGAGACCTGTTACCTTATGCCTGATTGGTTCGTTCATAAATTATAGTCTCGCCTAATAATGCTTTTCTTCAGAGTTCTCCAGTTATATTGTCAGTAATTAAATGAAAATGATTTACATTTAGGTTTATATAATTGCGATCAACAACGTAAGTGATACAATTGAATTTAGACATTTATAATATTATACTATAGAATGATTATGTATGACACTACCTAAGATTCATTCACCGATATTAATGATCATAAGCTCAACAAGAAGATTCAAATAGTTCTGTTTGTTGATCTGATCAACTACATAGTTGAACTCAACAATGTCTCTGAATCACAGTTTTATATTTCTATGAGTAAATATTAGTGATATACATATAAAACTTAATTAGAGAATTTCATTCTTATAAAAACCGATTCGGGCAACTATTTGTAACTGTGTTAAGTTTAGGCGGTGAAAGAATCTATTTATTGTAATATATGATTAATTGAAATTATTTGATTTGAACTAAGTTAGTCCTTGAACTGTATCATATAAGATGAACATTTCTGCAAAAGGGAAAAGATATGTAAATACTGTTGTTGCCAGATATTCAACTCTTCATTATCTTGTTTACTTTTAAAAATACAGATCCGAATGGATATGAAGGGGGTAAGCTGATTTCTGTTTATTACCAAAGTTTTCATTAATGGATTTACTTTTGGCCTTATAAGTGTCCATCAGAAGAGTTTCTCTTATTCCCATTTATATTAAACAGTAAATTTGTGGCCTCCTTCCTAACATGAGAATATTTAAACAAAATCGAAAATGATTTATGTAAATTAATTGAAATCGTGTTAAAAACTGAATCTCAATATCACTACAAATCTTAACTCCAATCACAGCAGCACATATAAATACTGAAAGACCGTTTCGTTTGTTCGCGTGGAGATCGACGGTCGAGGGTTTGAGTCTCGTGTGCAGGTTCGTGGATGTGCACTACTGGAAAGTTCCATATTAGAACGAAACGATCATCTAGTACTTCCAGTTTTTTAATGATGGATTAGCTTAAATAGACTCATGAATTCAACTATTAAAATTTCATTGTTAATTGTTTCATGTCGATATTACTAGATATCAGTGATACAGATTATGCAAATAATTACATAGGATATGCTTAATTGGTTGTCGATCAGTTAAGAACATATATACGAACACTATTAATAAAATGTGAAAACAGGTAGGTGTCACTATACACAGACAGCAATGAGTAGTAGAAAATTGTTAATAAGTTACTCGGTATCTGCTTAGAAAAAGTCTAAGAATAGCCAATTACGATTCTTCACAACATTCAGTGCCTAGTGACAATAATATGGACTGAATTAATATAGACTCTCAAGTAGTGGTTAACGATTTAGGTCATGTGAACAACTACAAACAAATAAACATGGAGACCGTGAAGATATCGTTTGTACGTAGTCGTGTGAGTTTACATGAAACTACCTCAATGTTACGTCATATGTGATCACAAAACTTTGTCTTTACTTCAACATACAATTGACAACTTTTGATGCCATTATATGTAAATTCACTAGAAATTTTTGTTCACATGAAATTAGGATAATTCATGTTGCCTATTACATTAGTCTTCTCGTATTTTTCTTGATGTTGCATAATTTAGAAATGATTAACTCTCTGTTTACTGGATCATTGTACTTCAATGACCGTTAGCTTGAAATACTGCATTGTTGACTGTTATTACTTTATTCGCCGAGTCAACTATTTACAAGGGATAAAGATCAAGTTTACCACTTTCGAAGAACAGTTATTTCGATGGGGAAATTTTATTGCTTACTTTTTAAGTAAATCAGTAACTAATTGCTCGTCATCGGAATAAATTGAAGTAGTTGATCCTGCTCTTTTGATGCGGGTTGACTGCATAGAATAGGTTGAACTATTGAGAAGATCTACATTTGTGCGTTTTATACGTGTTTTAATTTCTTCCAGTATAACTTGTATATCACGTTGCTATGTTTCTATTCATTTGATAAGAGTTTGATTATTGAGTCTACTTCCATATAGAAGATAAATCCAGGGTAATAAAGATTCTAAACGTTACTCTCAAAGTCGAACGAAGATTGATCGGATGGAATAGAATTTTCAAGCTTATTTCGCTGAATAGTTGGTCGTCTCGATGTAAATATATCCTCCAATATTCAACCTACCTTCTATATAAGATTTAAGATGGTTTGTTGAGAAATACATTTATTTCTGTGTAGCTTAAAAGTATACAAACCTAACAATGCTTAGTGCTACTGAAAAAGCATAAAATATGAGATCTTAGTTCTAACATGCTTTTTGATACTCGTTATATCATAATTTTTCATCCCGTAAGCATAGTAATAATTATATATTGATTGTTATTTCTTTAAAAAACATGATTTGAAAGGCTTTGACGACTGTAAGTGTAACATTTCCTAATACACTATATTTATCAATACCATATTATTATGTAACGTTGTTTATTTTATTCAAATATGACAAACTGAAAACTTTTAGTTCATGAACACCTGAAAAGTGAAAGAAAATGAGTGCTTCTTATTACAGATTATTCAAAATCCAATGTTTTGTAACACTAGCTTTTTTTTTTAGAAAATAAGCCAAGTTGTTCAGATGTTCTTTGAAGATATGGCTCAACAAATAAATGACATCAGAAAGGGGGCTTTGTAGATATTATAGTAATCTAATAGTTGAGATCATGAGTCAATTGAAGTTAGACCACCTTGGAAAACCTGAAAGCACTGGACGGCCGTTTCGTCTTACTGTGGGATTTCTCAGCAATGCCCATCCACTAGCTGGATTCGAACCTAGGATATGTATTCCAAACTGATGTAAATTGGTCAAGGGAACTCGCGAGGTGTGATCATGGATGTATGCTGCCGAGGAGTCCCACAATAGGACGAGACAGCCGTCCAATGTTTTCAGGTTTTCCATGGTGGTCTAGCTTCAATTGATTCATGATCTCAACTATTAAATTAGAAGAGAGTTTTGCACGTAAAGAAAGTGAGAAATAATTAGCACATTCAATGCATAAGTTATTCTGTGTAGACTATTTCACAGTCACATTCTGAAACTGTTCATTTCAACATGAGTAATGTAGACCCGTACAACAAAACTTTTGAACGTACAAAATGGTTGAATTTAATGAGAAATATTTTTAGCCATGTTAATGAATTATCCCTCATATTTATGTATAATATTCCTTCATTGATATTTGGTATCTCTTGATCTAATACCTCTTAAATATGGGATTTCTAGAGATGAAATATTTTGGAGAGATTATTCTGAGATGTTCTGATGTGTGGGAGAAGATGATAATGGTCAGCTGTCTGTTTAGTCAAACTTGCAGATAGTCTAACAGGTGTTAGATAAGTTATGTATACTCCTATCCTTATTATTACTGAGATTGTTGTTCGATTGTTGTCGGCTTTTTAGTGTGGGAATATGTTTACGTTCTAGTTAGGCTAATCACTTGTTCTTGTTGTGAGTTGTGTTGAAGTCCTGTAGAATAGACACTGGAATAGAATCTAATGTAGATATTCGTCTAAGGCAAATTAAAGTCCCATTCATAAAGATGAAGAATATTCGATCGCTATAAAATTTTCTTTTATAAATCTCCAGTTGTTGATACTTCATTATAAGAGTTCATTTACAGACGTAACTAGAAAAATGTTTTCTTTTCTAGGTAAAACAAAGTGTTACGGAATGAACGAACGGTGAATTCCTGTAACAGATTGCTCTTTGCTCTATCAAGTTTCTTCAGTCATATGTTAAATACGAAGTCAGAATTCAACATTTCATTACGTTATTGTTTTATTATTTTGCTTATTTATTAACTGTAATTAAATAATAATAACTAACCGAAATCAAATAAATTCATAATATAATTTGCAAATCATTTATATTTTCAACTTGACAATGCTTCTATCCTCAACATTATACCTCAACAATCCTTCGACCATGTGATAGTGACCAATGGCATCAAATCCGCATCGGGTATGAGACAGTTATCCATCTTAGACAATAGATAAAGGGTCATGCAAGATCACGTTAGATACTAACATCGTTGGATGCCGTCTCAGAAGTCTCGAGGTTAAGCGTTTGCATGCAAAACTGAATGGTCTGGGTTCGAGTTATGCGTGCCGGGCCACGGATGCGTACTGCTGAAAAGCTTCATACAAGAGTGAAACATTTCTAGATACGACTGTTTCTTGAACAGCCTAACGATAACATACAAACTGAACAGATAAATTTAATCGATATGAAACATGTTGACATACATTCGCGTCAGATAGATGAAAAAAATAACTAACGTTGTTATTACTTGACAAACATCCGGTAAATGTCGTCAACCTTACTGAAATTTCATGTTGAGGTAGCATACCATCCATAGCTGTAGAATGAAGAGCATTATCGAGTTACAGATAAATTACAAACAGACAAACCGAAGTCCTGAGTTCAAACAATACATATGTACGAGTTCTTCTCGCCAATGTAAATATGCAAAAACATTATCACCCTTTCGCCAAATGAATATTTAACTTCATGTTAGTTAAAAACAGTTGAAAATAATATGAGTTAAAACATCTAGCAGTATACCATTTATTGTTTCAGTATTTTAAAGATTTAAATAATCGCTCTGCTATTCAAGGCAACATGAGTCGTCTCTACAAGATGCACTTATGTTTCTGACATTGCGGAATAATGAACAATATTCTAACCTCAATATCTGACATTCACGTAATTGCGTAGTAGTCGTGGTGAAAATGTGTCTACGTCTGAATCACTAACAAAATTGTAGAAAACTTGAAACTCTAAAATAAAAATAAATCGAAGTCTCTCATCTCGTTAGTTATACTTATATTATTCCTAATTTAAAATATGAGTGTTTTTAGTTTCACGTAAAGGCTATAAAAAGTTTCCCTTTTTAATTATGTGACCAAACTTATTATCAATATAATAGTTTCATATCATTCAAACTGTTGTTATCAAATTATCAACAATCTACATTTTAATGCAATTGTGTACAACCTTGAAGGTGGTCTGCTTGAATACTTAGACCTCCTGTTCCTGCTTTCTAGATATTTCAACAAGTTATCTGCTTCTCTGTTTGTTCTAACAAATTATTATGTCAGTTAATTGCATAACCTATTCAGATGTGTTTGTAAAACGTTTACGACCGTTTGCTATACAAGTTACAAAACAACCCAATCAGAGACATCGTGGTTGATGGCAATATATATCGAAAACAATATACGTTAATCAGATGTCGATTACTGAACTGCTAACATCTAACTGGCGACCACTCAATATTTATCATAGAATAAGAAACGGAAATTCGCTGAAATACTTTGTGCTGAGAATTCTGTATTATACCAAAATTATGATATTGAATATACCCATTAATAATTATTATTATTTATTTCACCCTAGTGACCAGCTTTGTGAGGGAATTCTCGGAGTTCTGATGAGAAGCCGTGACTAGTGGTACTAATCCGTGTCGGGTAGAAACAGGTATCTACCTCAGTAAGATGGAAGATGGTCGTATAATTTCCTGTATTGGTTGAGGTTAGAGATTAACACCGTCGGATGCCGGCTCAGTGGTCTAGATGTTAGGCGTTCCGGTGCGAGACTGAAGGTCCTGGGTTTGAATCCCACGAGCAGGATGGTGGACGTGTGCTACTGAGGAGTCCCACAATAAGACGAAACCACCGTTTAGTGTTTCCAGGTTTCCAATGGTTGCCTAACATTGATCGATTCATGATCTCAATCAAAACTCAACAGTCTCCACAACCCTATACTAGAAAGAAACTTTACTAAATAAAACAAATCATCAACAACAAAAACTTTTCCTTTCACCAAATGTATATGACTGAATAAAAATTATGCTATGGTTGCAAGATACTACTATTTAATAGTCGAATTCATAAGTCATTTAAAGCTAGATCCTCATGGAAAACTTGGGAGGACTGAACGACCGTTTCGTTCTAACATAGGACTCTTCAGTAGTGCGCATTCATAATCTTGACTTTTTTAATTAACTTTAAATAAAAATGAAGTTATGATCACTTCAACAATAAAATTTCAGTCAGTAGGTCAATTAGCTTTTATGTAAAATATAACTTCCATATCACCAAAAAATGATTTCGTTTTGATCAATTTACATAAACTACTACAACTGTAAATGTACATTTTATAGGAAGAAACTGTATCCCTATTTACTTTTACTTACACAAATACTATTCAACTATCAGACATTAAGACATATATTCTTCAATACACAATTGTAAGTGTACGTGAAACTGAGACAACGTTGAAATCCTTAATAAATGCAACTCAAAAAAGATAGAATAACCTTTGAAGCATGAGGATTAGTTCAGTCATCAGATGATTCCAAATCATTTTGTGTTTTAAATAATCAAAGGGGGGAAAGGAGGAAAGGCTGGTATTATTATTTTCTCTTTTGAATAACTATTTCGAAGTTATTTCCTCTAGTTTCCAAGGTGTCTTCGTCAGAATTTCTAAACTTGCCTAACAATGAAAATGCCGATTTTCTGTTATTTTACTTAAAATTACCCAACACAAAACCACTGGTCTTAGAGTCATCTTGGAATGAGCACCTTCATTCAACAAAGTGAATGCATATAAAGTAGTTTTCTCGAATAATCTTTCGTCATTTAAACATGTTATGGCTAAATCAGCTGACCGATGATTGACATTCATTATTCTTTTATATACAGTGATACTGAAATCTCCTTAACCACTTACCTTATTGTTTGACTAAGTGAAAACTGAATATTTTTAGTACTATATGTGGACTTGTATTTTTATACCAATTTCTAAATGTTGGACATGTATAATTAAAGATGAGAGTAACAACCAAATGTTCATCCAAGATGCATCGAAATCTTAGAGATGGACCACGTTGTCACCCCTAGATCATTGACAACGAAGTACGATTTTCATTTATTGTCTTCAGTAACATACTGTTTCGTATTTCTCTGGAATTATCTTCCATTTATGCTTCACCACAAAACCTCAGATTTTGTAAAGTTCAGTGTTGATAAACTATAACATTTGAAAAGATACAATAAGTAAGACGTGAAAAATGTAATCCTTAACCAGGAATGTAAATCGCTGATTCGACTCAGTATTTTGACGGCAATGTCGACGACCTAAATTTGAAAATATGTTCGTTGTTGATTTTAGCCAATCACAATATGGATTATGAGAGTAAGTCATCGAAACACAAGATGAATTCATTGAAAACAGACACTTACATTCTTCGTCTATGAAAAGAAAAGTTAAATAAAATGATAACTTGTAGACAACTTTATAATTTTGACATTCTATTTATTCTAAGCAAAGATGGATTGTGGCTAACAGTAGAACCCAGGACTCGCGTTTCGTCCTACTTGGAACTCGTCAGTTGGATGTACCTGCATCACAGAGTTCATTCTGGGACAATACGCACAGTATTCACATAAGCCAATAAGAAACTGATTAATTGCAGTCCTAACAATAATGGGAAGATTCAAGTAAACAATACCAAGTGAATTCTATTTACTCTTTAAACATTAATCCTCTTATTCACTGTTAAATTCACAGTATATAGGTTCATTTGATTCCTTAAATCGAATATACCTAAGATCATCGGGTTTTATACTGAGTTTGATGCATTTCAACTGGTAACTCACAATATAACACTATTCACACATTATCTTATCTGTGTTTTTAATTTTGTACTACCGATTCAGTTAACACAATATGTCAACATATCTCACTAGGATATTCTTAGAACCCATCTCAAAGGTAGTTTCACTACGATAATCATTTTACTAACATTTTGTATTATCTGAAAACAAATTAATTTCAACTAAGTAACCTTTGAAGTACAATAAACCATTAAGTGGTAGTTTTATTTTGAATTTTTTAATTGTCTGCACACATTACTACAACAGGGATTGAATTCAGTAACTCTTCATAGGCATCATGTACATACGTTATCATATAGATACCCTCATCTCAAATGGAACAGAAAAGTCACACTTATATTATCAAGAGTGAAAAGACAAATTGATCTCTTGAGTGATTTCATAGAGATTAAACGTTGCTACGTAGCCATACAGGTAATAAGAGATTTAAATGTTGGTGGGCTTTTGTGAATAAATCTATTCAAGGTCTCCAGTCATACGTTGATTCTTGATCCATCCAATAATTTATATATATACACTCATTAGTTGTGTACTGTAATTGACCTAAGGTATAAAATGGGCTGTACATTATTAGTCCTTAGGCTGTTTATAGAGTTTTCAGTATATATCAAAGAGAGTGTATTGTAACTAACACAGAATACCATAACAACCACACAGAGATTCACTCTAAGTATTGAGTAACTCAAAATAAATATCTACAGGATAAAACTAACGGAATTACCCCTATATGATTTTCCTTAAGTTTAGTGTTCAATGTTCTTATGACATGTTTATGAAGATGATATTCCACTCTTAATTTAACACCTAAACTCAACTCCGTCTTTTTGTAGTTACTCCAACAGAAGACAATTTCTAACTGACAGTTATATCTGTATAAGCGCTAAACCAATTCACACTTTACCTTAAAGATATAAAGAGATAGGATCTACATGATGAATAGCTTCCTGAACCGATTTCTCATCTTTGCCTGAGCATACAAAACTATAAAATGTTCCAGAATTAAGA